AAAGCTTGTTAGCTGGCTGTCCATCTCATAATGTTCACATAGAAACTAGCTGTCAATAGGAAATATAAATCATAAGAATTATATTTTCATGCAAAATCTGTCACAAAAATAGGTTGCACATTTAAATGCAGGTGTTGTTATGGCAACGTCAGTGGCCAGACAGCCACATTTACTGCTGCAAATACGTTCAAACATGCTGTCGACACGTAAAGCAGTGGCAACTATGCCACCATTTCAGCTGACTTTTTCTCAGAAATACTGTCACATAACATCCATATATATATTTCAGTGCTAGGTTGATGCTTAGCTAAGCTAACTATGAAACACTTTAACTGACAGGACTCAGGAATCAGGATCAACTGTGTACTACTGTAAGGTAGCTTCTAGCTTCATGTCGAACACAGACAGTAAGTCAACATTTCCCAGAGAGCTTTCTTTGAAATCACCAAGTAACGCTAAAAAACACAACATTTAGATTGTATGACAAAGTGTGTATTTAATATATCTGGCTAGCTATAGCTACTTGCTAACGGTTTAGCTTACCCGCGCGATTCAAAGTAACGTCAACGTAGCTATAATGTATGCTTTGCTTACATGTTCGCATAACTTGTAATTTTACTGACAGGTACATACCTTGTTCATCTGGCTCAGGTGGTGGCTCTGGGGTTGTTGTGTGAGCCACCACTTGAGAATTGCCGTCTTTTTTATTAAAGAAATGTCTAATGTCCATCTTCAGAATCTCCGCGTCCGGGGCTGACAGTTTAAAGTTTAAACATTGTCACAGAGGAGAGGTACGTACCTGTCAGCCAATAAAACACGTTTATTTCCATTCAACTCTCTGATTGGTCTGGTGGCGTCGTCTTGCCTTTGTGTTGCATTCACTGAACATGGGAAATTACAATTCTACCGTCCGTCCTATAGGTAAAGTAGGTTAATGTATTATATTATTGAGGGAGAATTTGTCCGGGGCTAAAGAAAAAACATCCGGGGCTAAAGCCCCGGATGCCTACCCCAGGCGACGCCCCTGGTGTCATCCTAGATGGAGAAAATAACCGACATCCCACGCTTTTTGAGACAAATATGCAACTGCGTGTGTTAATAATTGCACGTTTTCACTGCTCATATATATGCGGGTTCGGGTCGGGTTGCGGATCTTGTGCCGACGGGTCGGGTCGGGTTGCGGCACTAATTGGCAATATGTGCGGGTAGCGGGGCGGGTTTGGTATTGCACATCGCGGGTGCGGGGCGGGAGCGGCCACTGATGGCAACCAAAGGCCAAGAAGTGGTTGACATTTTTTCTGAACGGTTGCCAATGGCAACCGTTACTGTCGAGCCCTGTATGGCAGGGGTAGGCAAGTAAGTTTGGCCTCGGGCCAATTTTTTGCTGAGCCACAAGATGGCGGGCCAGAACATAATCAAAGCCTAATTCAAGGAATTGATTTTGGTAAGAGGGCGCAGCGCCCCTATTCCCCGTTTCAGAAAAAAACTCTGATATCGCTGATATCCCTCCCCATCAACACTCTGATGCGCAGTCAGATCCGCTGATTGGTTCACTGATGATATAGGCGCCCAATCCAGAGCCTCTGGCTAGACCCGCCCAAAGGGAGGCTCGTCCTCTCTAGCCCCATTTCAGTCCCAAAGCCAGGGCTATTATCTGTATTTTAACAGACTTATCTTTTAAATTGAGGTGTATTTATTGTTCTCTTCAAAGTTTATTTTTCTCTGAAATGTTAGGGAGGATGGTCCTCCCTTTCCTCAATGGACGAGCCTCCACTGAGTAGAGTTATTAACTAGGTAGCAGTGTTATTTAACATACTTTTATTCTGATAAGTATTGTCAAGTTCTCTGGGGTTTTGGCATTTATTTGAGTGTTTGCCCACATTTGAGAGGCTTGAGGGGCAACGCATGGACAACTCGAATCCTTTTTCCTTTTCTTTATTTCAACTTTTCAAGGACACATTAGGATTCTTTCAGGTTGAAAACCTTTAAAAAATATCAAAGGACAAAATAAATCAATTACAGCATGTTTTGCTTTGCAATTTAATATAGGCTATTATAACCTAAATTAATCAGTAACCAAGTATTTTACTCAAACTCAATGTATTTAATAGTTAAATAAATACTTGAATTGACCTGGTTCCCCACAACCACACATTTGCCATATGTGACCCGCTCTATCGAAATCAGTCGGAAGTCGCAACGGCTCATTTCAAAATAAACGTGGATTTGCGTAAAAAAATAGTTTTTCAGGGTTCGGGTGTTTTGTTTGATTTTAAATAAACAAAGTCTTGGCTTTCAGAATATGGAACTTATATTTCCAAAATCACACGATAAATACATGTTTGAAGCTTGTAAAGGGAAGATGACAGCTCTCCCTCCACTCTGCTCTTCCACAGCGCCGCTTCCCCTCCCTCCGCTGACATTATGAATGTAAGCGGATATTTCGGGACAGAATTTATTTTACCGGACAAATTTGAAACTTACCGGTCATGTTTCAATAATAATAATAAGAATGGTGTAGCAAAGTTTCCGTTAGCAGGTAATCACCGGACTATGACAGGATATGCTGATGTTTAAAACTCAGTTAATGGGAGTCATTTTTATATTGCTTCAGTTTATAATCGTTACAGATCGAAAAGTTCAGATTCATTTTTCAATAAATGATTCCACAAACAACAAACAACATAATTATTACATTCAAACAAACTACTTGTAGTAGATGAAGTACATTATTCAAAAGTTTACATTAACTTTGGATAATAACACGGGAGAAAGGGATCCTCTCTTTTCCCCTCTCCCTCTCCCTCTCTCCTGACAGCCCGTCAGTTTCTCATGCAGCGCGCTAAACAGTGGGCGGGGCTTCAGCTGATCTGATCTTTCTCTCGGGTCCGGTTATACTTCACTCGCGTTTATGTCCATATCGATCAGATCCAGCTCTGCTGATCGGCCTTTATAGAGAGCACCGATCAAACTATTAAGAGTGAATATCGGCCGATAATGACCGGCGGCCGATCGATCGGAGCATCCCTAATTATTAGCAGACATTTTGACCAGCAGGTTTTGAATTTACAGGGTTTTAATTAATTTTACCAGATAAAAACCGGTGATTACCGGCTAACGGAAACCCTAATGTGCGACTCTCGGTCCTATGTTGTTAAAAAAAAAAAAAAAAAAAATCTCAAAATAATATTTTATTTTTGATTCTCCAAATTACGGGCCAAATATTATTGCTGGCGGGCCAACAATGGCCCGCGGGCCGCCTGTTGCCGACCCATGCTGTATGGTGTGGAGAGCTCAGGGCCAGCTTTGGGGTGAGCCATATATTTTATAAATGGAGCGTGCGGCCAGAACCACTCTCCATGCTAACGTGAATCTTCGGGGCCTTAGAGGGGCTTCAGGGTTAGGGTTAGGGCCTCCGTGTTTTCATCATTTTACTATTAAACATCGGGGTCGCTTAAGTCATATTTCTTCTCCATTTCTCCTGTAACCCCTCAAGCTGAACCCCCATTGATAAACTCATGGTTTCTTTCTCCTCATGGATAGGAGCAGTTTTAATTGTATACGTTTGTTCTCGTGGTGTGTTCTGAAGGTTTTTATGTTGCAGCCTTGAGAGGCGGAACACTGACTCAATTCCATTATTGACAGCGCTGTGCAATGAGGAAATGACATACAAACACACACAGACCACGAGACAGTAACATGTGTTGTTAAAGCAAATATCCACACCAGGTCATTAGCACACACTGTGTATTTATTTGTTACGTCTACGAGTGTTTTCATAGTGCCATAAGGCCACACAACTCCTCTGTTGTGGCCTTTTAATCAGAAAAGAATGAGTGAGTGGACACAGCCGCTGGCTAGTGGCACAATGTTTAGGTCTGTGTTTATGAGAGAGAGGGAGGGAGAAGTGGGGAGACAGGGGGAGGAGCGGGGTGGTCACAGACACATTTAGATATCCCACTTCTCTTTGTGGTAATGAAAACTGCTCTCTCAGCTCTTAAACACAAAGGCAGCATCAACAGTCACTGTCAGCCGGGCGGATGGACGGCTGACTGTCTGCCTGTCTATGGGTGTGTGTGTTTAAATTAGTGTGTATACTGCAGCGAAGACAGGATGGAAGCCAAAACTGTCCGCTTTCTCTACAGCCAGCGTTGTAAAGGTAGGACAGCTTTGACAGATCAGACATAATACAGTTGCACAGGCTTGCGATTTTAATGTGTGTGTGTTTTCAACTCTTAAAAGATTGCCTGTGCAGCCTACTCGGCAATGGCAGGCAGCTATGAGAGCATAGCATTAATCTGTCAGCTGTCAGCACTGATCCAGCTTATGACCATCACGATGTGACTGTGTGTGTTTGTATGCACATGTTGCTGTGGACGCTTGGTGTCCCAGTCTATAACTGCAGCGGGCAGGACTCACCAGAGGAGTTTTTTGCAGCCAGTGATTGAATAAACTTACCAAGTGTATCAGCACTGAGTGCACTCTATTAATTTGAGGCCAGACTGAAAGACCAGCATGGTGGAGGGAGGAAAATAAAAAGCGATAAGCTGGGATATATGCCTCTGGAGATCTGTGTGGAAGAGGATAGCTGATCACAAGCACACACACATGTGTGTAAATGATGATGTACACACATGCACAGCAGTCTATCCTTTAAGGAGGGGAGTGGATTTCCGCCAAGACTGCAGGCTGATGTGACAGGGCTCTGCCAGGTGTTACAGTGGAGCTGGGCTTCATCCACATCAGCTGTTAAGACTTTAAATTATATCTTACACATTGTTATGGCATGTATCTTAATGATAGCACTATGTTGTCAACAGTAATGTAAGCAGCTTGATCCCCAGCTGTATGGATAATTGCATGTAGTTTTCATTTTTTTTAGAAAAGACAAATATCTGTGTATGCCGTCCTTATTAGTGCCTGAATGTGTTAATTGGGGTTGGAATAATAAGGTTAACCAAGGCGTTTAACTCATCTCTGTCTCTTTATCACCCCAACAGAGATCCGCGCCCAGCTGGTGGAGCAGCTCAAGTGTCTGGATCAGCAGTGTGAGCTGAGGGTGCAGCTGCTGCAGGACCTGCAGGACTTCTTCAGGAAGAAGGCTGAGATCGAGGTGGACTACAGCCGCAACCTGGAGAAGCTGGCCGAGCGGTTCCTCACCAAGACCCGCAGCACCAAGGACCATCTACTCAAGTAAGGGAAACTCACACACACATAGACCCATCCCACTGGGGAGCATGTTGTGGTTGCGAATGATTTTACTCTTAATTTCAAGAACCTTTGACCGCTTACACCCCATTCTAGGATTCCAAGTAAGATGAAAAGATTTAAAGAAAAGACAAACAACTTATTAAGTTATTTAGTTCAAGCGTCTTCAAGGTTAGTGACTTCCTTCCTGAGAAAAGAGAAGTAGAGATGGGTAACAAAATTAAACGGATGGAGAACGGAGGCCATATTGGAAAATACCTAATTGCATCACTCACTGCTTCCCGGTGTGATGTAATAAAAACACCATCTGATCTATAATGAGTGTGTGTGTGTGTGTGTGTGTGTGTGTGTGTGTGTGTGTGTGTGTGTGTGTGTGTGTGTGTGTGTGTGTGTGTGTGTGTGTGTGTGTGTGTGTGTGTGTGTGTGTGTGTGTGTGTGTGTGTGTGTGTGTGTGTGTGTGTGTGTGTGTGTGTGTGTGTGTGTGTGTGTGTGTGTGTGTGTGTGTGTGTGTGTGTGTGTGTGTGTGTGGCCAGGTGGCGATTTTGTGCTCTGACTATTTTGCAGTCTCTTGCTGTTTGTGTAACCTTCTCTCCACACCTAAGAAGGTCGATCTCTCTATCTCTCCTTTCCGTTTCTCTCTTTCTCTCTCTAACTCTCTCTCTCTCTCTAACTCCCTGAAAACACACACTAAAGCTCATCAGCTTTAGCAGCATGGTCTGTTCTTGTATAATTTATCTGCCGGCTTTTGGTGGGAGGGAGCGGTCTGTTTCGCTGTGGGGCAGGACTCACTGACCTGCTAGCTAATCATAAACCACACACACCAATTGAATGGAGATAAACCATGGAGGCAGAGGATACTTTACATTTAGCTTGTTGCATTCTCCTCTCTCTTCCGTCTTTTAGCATGTGATGTAGAAATAGCTAATACTTCAAATGTAGAGGAAGTGCAAGTAAGAAAATACATGTGTAATCGCTACAGCTGTGTAAACAGACTGCAGTATCATTAATACTACATTAAAGCGTATACTGTGTATCTTTTTCAAACAATCCACTGCTAGCTGCACCAAATGTGTAGTGATTCGTACAACAGCTGTGCATTTATAGTAATAGCTTACTCTTTACATGTGTGGTTGTTGCCCTTTCAGTAGATACCATCCACACCCTTTCCTATAAACGAGGACACACATGCTGTAGAAAGCTCTTATAGTGTTAGTGTCTAACTGTAGGTTGTTTTCTGCTTCTGTCACTACAGCCATTATTGTGTGTTTTATAAAATTGCATTGTATAAAAAAGACAAGTCAAAGCATTTTATCCAGCCAAAAACAACAATTATCATACAAATATATTACTATTTGTCTAATGTACACAGCAATTAAAAACGTTTCATTTTGGTTGTTTGTTGCTAACAAGCCTTGATGTTAATTAATCCACCAATGAACACAAATAGAAAATCAGTAATTGTGCAGCAGTAACATTGCGAAGGCACAGCATTTGTTTCATTGCTTTCTCATTAAAATAAATTACTCAATATGTTTTCACATTTATTAAAACGTTTTTTTTCTTCATTTAGCATTTGATTTCGCTTCTCACAGTGTTATAGGTGTTCTTAGTTGCTCTTTGCAGTAGAGGAAGCACTAGCAGACTGTTCACTGCTTGTCTTCTTTCTCTCTCTGGCTTCCTGTTCACCCTGACCTCCTCTACAGCCACCTTCCCCTTTTCCTCCGCTCTTATGTCGTTCTCATGCATCGTGGACTTTTCCAGAAACATTAATATCTCTGCTGGGGGCAAACCCACATCCATGCTCTCTCACGCAGGCACGGACTGAAAGGGATCGATAGGGCCTCTAAACGAAACCCAATTCCAATTGAGATACCCCCCCCAACGCACACACACATTAACAACACACACACCCTCCAGCTCAGATCAATACTGAGACAGTTGCAGTGTGTGTGTGTGTGTGTGTGTTGCTTATTGGGGGAGGGAAATTGAGTAAAATAGAAGGGATGGCAAAGGACAGAGAATAAAACATGTTGTTGATCAGGTCAGCCAGTGTCACTGCTTTATGTCTCAACCTGGAAATATGTCATAAGGAAATGTCATCAATCAATTAATTGACTGACACGTGTTCAATCATAACTTTTCATTTCTCTCCTTGCTCCGTCCCACTGTCTTTTTGCATTTCCCTACATCCAACATCTGTGTGTTAAACAGTCTCCCTGCATCTGCTGCTGCTCAGTCTGAGTGCCACGCTGGAATTCCAGCTATTTTCCGGTTATGTGTGTGTGTGTAGGTTTGTGTGTCTGAATGTAGGTTTGTGTGTGCTTGAGCTGTTTCTCCGCACAGCAAGGCGTTGATGGTGCTCCAAGCAATGTGGGGTGTGAGGGTTGTGTGTGTGTGTGTGTGTGTGTGTGTTGATCCCGTGGAGACCCCTGGTATTCCGGCTATTTGGCCAACTGCGTAGAGCATTGGTGGGGGGTTACACGGTTAAACCGTATTGTGTGTTTTTGTGTGTGTCTATGTCTGTGTGTGTGTGCCCTGAGGCTGACAGGCTGATTGGTCACATGGAGTAGCCCTCACAAGTCGCACACTGATTCAAAGCCTGTCCTTATGCTAAATATTAGGCCAGCTTCACCGTTAATACGCTGCAGCCCCATTCAGAACCCCCGGCTACAGCGACATATTACTTCAATGTGAGTTTTGCTTTTTTGATTCTTAAGATCAAATGGTTGTATGGCCACACGTGGACTGCAAAGTCCTGTTATGCATCTGTTTTGTAAATATGCTCAGTACTAATGTAGCACAGCTTTCACTTCTGCAAAGAGGAAGAAGATACGATTTTGAATGCCCCAGAAAGAGCTAATGCTAATATTAAAAACTATGGCTCTGCAATATGGAGGAAAACACATATCATAATATTTTCCACCAAATATCCACACCTATTTCAGGGTTGGCTAATGATATTTTTCACAATAAGATTAAAAAAAGATGTAATTGATATTGTGGATATAATGACTGAAGTGAGTATGCATAGTAAAAATAAAAGTAAATGGATATAATAATAATATAATAACTAAAACGGTCTCAAATCATGATATCAGTATAGTTATGATATAAGTATTTATTTCACAACAGTCACAGAAAAACATCTCTAATAAACAGTGCTTAAAAAGACAAACATTTCAAGTCTTGTTCAACTACCAAGTGTATATACTGCCTCGACAGAGCAGTAATACCACATGTTTACTTAACTGTTAGACTTGCACCAGTTGAAGAAAAAGCCCTCCAGCAGTGATGCCCTGTGCAATGCTAAACCTTTTGATCTTGAACGTAGAAGACCATTTAGCATTTCCCTTCACTGTGAGTCCCCAGCAGCACCTGACCTGAGGATGGACTCTGTTCCCAAAATGTGATCATGTGACCTTCAGAGGGCCAGTGACATTTAAGTGTTTACCTTCTGGCAGCGCGGGGTCACAGTGAGTTACAGTGGGTGATATTTTACCTTGTTGCTGCAGTGCCATCACCATGGCAATCACTGGTGGGCCCAGGGTGACATGTCACATGGAGGTTCTTGAGTAAATAGAGGAACTGCGATCCTGCTATTTGGGTGGAAAAAAGGTTGTGCAACTGGTGAGGACTGACAGACAGGAAAGGAGGCAGACAGCAGAGAGAAGTTGATGCAGAAATTGAGGCAAACCTGCGTGTGTCCCCATGACTGTTGTTCAAAATTAGCATACGATTCAAGGAGAGTTCACTATTTGGGCTTTGTATTGTGTAGGTGCCTTTTTTCCCCTATTGTTCTTGAACTCATTTGTATTATTACACACAGTCATTTGACCATATGACCAGCGACAGCCAGTACCAGCGAATCACATCACTGTCATCATCAGGCCCTGCTTTCCCACACACACATACACACACCTCCCCACAGACAAAACCCCCACTCTATACCCCTCGGTCAAAGACTGTCTCTGTCTGTCTGACCTTGTGGATGCTTGGGTCACTTGTTCTACTTTTCCTGACCTTATCTCTGTCTGTGTGTGTGTGTGGTGTGTGTGTGTGTGTGTGTGTGTGTGTGTGTGTGTGTGTGTGTGTGTGTGTGTGTGTGTGTGTGTGTGTGTGTGTGTGTGTGTGTGTGGGTGTGTGGGTGTGTGGGTGTGTGGGTGTGTGTGTGTGTGTGTGTGTGTGTGATCTAAATGCCTCGCAGCTTTTTGCTGTCTATCCCGTTAAAGCTGCTCTTAACGGCACAAAGACCTTCTTTCATCCACTTACACTCACTCATAATCCATTTTACCCACTAGATCATCCATGGATCATCCATAGCACATACTGTACACACACACACACACACACACACACACACACACACACACACACACACACACACACACACACACACACACACACACACACACACAAAGAGGTTGTGTTGTTGTGCAAGCTGGCTGTTGCATTTGTTCAATGGCTTTATGGCCACTTGAAGCCAAGACAATGCAACACTGTTTAGCTATTAGACAGTTAGTGGAATAATTCGTCTTTAAATGTCTCTTTCTTCTCTTTTTCCTTTTTTCCTTTCTGTGACAGCTGTGCTTGTGGGGGACTCTAACCTCCTCCTGCTGAGCTTTGTACCCTGACTGAATCCCCTCTTTGGTGTGTGTGTGTGTGTGTGTGTGTGTGTGTGTGTGTGTGTGTGTGTGTGTGTGTGTGTGTGTGTGTGTGTGTGTGTGTGTGTGTGTGTGTGTGTGTGTGTGTGTGTGTGTGTGTGTGTGTGTGTGTGTGTGTGTGTGTGTGATGTTTGTGTAAGCCTGTGTGTGTTCCATTTTTTTTTTTACTGCATTGGCACGCAGAGTATCACACCCAATTCTATCAGCATGATGAAAGGGGGGAAATTAGAAGATCTTAATGTTAGTCATTTATCTAAAAAAGATGCTCGGAGTGCTTTGAATACATTTTAAGACTTCCTGTTTCTCTGTGTGTGTAGGAAGGAGCACAGCATCTTATCCCCTGTGAACTGCTGGAACCTGCTGCTGCTTCAGGTGAAGAGGGAGAGCCGCGACCACGCCACTCTGTCCGACCTCTACCTCAACAACATCATCCCCCGCTTCGCTCAGATCAGCGAGGACTCAGGACGCCTCTTTAAGAAGGTAACACACACTCAAACACACACACACACAGTTGGACTCAAGCCCAATGTGCTGAATCCATGTCATGTTTTTTACCCTGTCCTTCTACATCTCCAGCATCTGTTTTCTGTCTCGTCTGATTTATTGACTGACGGAAACTCAGCTGAACCTCAGGCCAGGAGAGTTTATGTTGTCTGTGTTTCATACAGTAGCCTCATTCTTGTCTCCTCTGGTCTTTGCCTGGATAGTCTGTGAGAAAGGAGATGAGGCAAGGTGATGGTGAGAAAAAAGGAGATTGATTGATTGATTGATTGAAAAGTTTATTAACAGCTAGTATATTGGGTACAGTACAGTACAGCTCAAAACATACAATTGTTAAGGGGATGCAGACCAGAGAAAGACTTTCGTCTTGTTTATATCAGGGTCCCCCATTTCCAATTCATCATATCATTTAAGACATATAAGACATATTTGACATACAGATGGCTTATTTACAATTTACATACAGGTGGTTTTTTACATACAGATTGCTTATTTACAATTTTCATTTTAGATTTCGTTCTAATACATCCTAACCGGACATTTAAGACATACCAAGTCTACAGATATACAGTTAGTAACAGAGTCTAAAATGCGAGTATATACGGGGGGGGGAAGCTGTCCATTGAACGACAGGTTGAGATTTGTACCATTACCGGGGCCAGTTTTGCAATGCTCTCCCCCGAAGGTGCTCTTTAAGAGAGGTTTTGAAGGTAAGCCAAATCTGGGTTTCACATGATTTGTGGAGCTCCCTCTGGTGTTATGATCATGGTATTCCTTGACCTTTGGGAATAATTTTGACATGTACATGGGTACCATAGAGGTGTAGTGGATCTTGTAGACCAGGCCCATTGCAAGTAGCTGTACTCTGTCGTCTACTCTAAGCCATCCTAGGTTGTCAAAGTGGGCAGAGGTGAGGTGGGTTCTAGATGAAAGGTCAAGCAGTAGTCTGACCAGTTTATTTTGCGATGTTTGAAGTTTTATTTTTAGCGCCTTGGAGGTGCTATGGTACCATGACGTGCAAGCATAGTCATAGTACCCTTGAATGAGTGCTCCTGCCAGAGTTTTCAGGGTGTTTTTGTTTACCAGAGAGGAGATCCGGTATAGGAATCTAGTTCTTTGATTGACTTTTTTTATTACATTGGATGCCATTTTGTCACAGGAGAGGTTTGCCTCAAGAATAGATCCTAGGTATGTAATTTCCTTCTTACTTGTGACAATAATGTCGCCCACTGCAACTGAGAAGTCGTCGGATTTGCTGAGATTATGTTTCGAACCGAAGAGAATGGACTCTGTTTTACCCAGGTGTAATGATAATTTATTATCGGCGAGCCAGGTGCAGATTCTGCCGAGCTCGGAGCTGAGGGTTTTTTCAACCTGCAATCTGCTCCTGTCAGAGACCAGCAGGGCTGAGTCGTCCGCGAACAGGAACAAGTTGCAGTCACTTGCTGATGACATGTCATTTGCATAAATTAGGAACAGTAACAGACCTAATATGCTTCCTTGTGGAACACCACAGCTCACTGGGAGGGGGGGGGGACAGAGTACCGTTTACCTCCACCATCTGTTCTCTCCCCTCCAGGTAGGACCGCATCCAGCTCACCGATAGTTAATCAAAACCAATTGCTTTTAGCTTGTCAATCAGAATGGGGTGATTGACAGTGTCGAAAGCCTTTTGTAGGTCCAGCATCACCATGCCGCAGTATTTGCAGGTGAAGAGGAAGAACAGAACTAAGAGGGACCTGAGGGAAATGGACCATGGGGGGGGGGGAAGATGGAGAACAGAAAGAGGGGAGAGAGATTTCTCTGGAGATCGGAGCTCACTGTGACCTTGTAGAGCAAATACTAAGGCTGAGTCTTCCCCAGGGAGACAGTTGTTCACCTCCAGGCTGAACACATTAGACCAGATTCACGGGTTAATGCCCCACACTGCAGAAATCAAGCGTGTATGTACAGTTTGTGCTTTATACCCTTATCTACTCTAGTTTTAACAGCAGGGTCTCAGAGTGAGTCTTATTTCAAATATGAAGTCAGTTTAGTGTAAAGACTTAATTTTCTGGTTTTGATTTGTATGCATCCTTGTTGGTTCTGTGCGACATCTTTATAAGATCTGAAGCATTTCAGGCAAAAATCGATTTACTTCCTTCGAGACAGTAGGGAAACATGTGTAGAGCTGGCACGTTTTTCCGTACATACAAATTAAACAAATTGCATTAAACTTGTCTTTTTGTTGAGTTTAAATTAAGTGTGTTTTATGATGCCCCCTTGCTTAAACATCTTAATGAATAAAGGGAAAATGTTTCTTAAATAAGATTTATGACTATTTGAAAAATGTCAAATGTACTCATTTAGGTTTAATATTGAGGGTTAATTTTAAGGTAAGGAGGAGTGTGGATGGGGTGTAAGAAAATACTGTAATCAGTTGCAGGCCTCACAAGTTCAGCAAGATTTGGATAGATAAGTGTTTGTGTGAGAGGCAAAGTGAAGCAGTCTGTGCCTGGAATGTGCTGATGTTCAACCCGATAGGTTGTCTTTGAACTACAGTTACAGTGTGAGCGCAGGCCATGAGAAAATGCACACACAAACCTCCAGCCTCATCTAAAACACCAGAATCATTTTTTATTGGTCGAGTCACGGGCATTGATTTCTATTTTTATTTCATTGTGCTTGTTCTTTGGCACGAAGGTTGCCTTCATCATGTCTGGGTCATAAACAGGCTGCACACATACACACAGAGAATGCTCTGATGGCTAATTAAGTTGATAATTAGTTCATTTATAACATTTCCAGTCAGTGGCATGAATACCAGTAGTGCCAGAGGCCATGACACGCACAGCACACACAACTCATGAAGGCGAACCCCACCACCCGTGTTAGAGAAGTCATCACGTTCATCTCTGCCTGTGTGGAAAGCAGTGCAGAAAGATCCTGTTGACGCAGCGGGAGTGTTTAAGAGATCTCGTCACTGAAGGCGAGGAAGCATTAATGAGTCAAACTGTATTAACGAGTACACAGACATCAGCGGCTAACGGAGCGTGCTAGCTTCTGTCGCCATTCGTGCCGAGCCAGCCAGACAACCACAGGCAAGATGAGAAGTTGAAAGGTAGAGATCCACGGTTGATAGATAGGAGGGCTCATTGCTTTTTGACAGTCTGTAGTCTGGCTGTTTGTCACCTATGATCCTCCCACAGCACTTTAAAGAAGTGGGCGGGACAGCCTCCGTTATCCTGTTACCTCTTTCCTCTGCTGACCAACCCTCCTGCTGCTTTACCCTTCTGTTCCTCACATCCTGCTGTTGCTGCATTCTGTAATTCTCACAAATAGTTTAAATAATATAAATTACGTTTTATTTGTATCCATAATCCTTCCTCTATATATAAATGCACTTGCATGTACTTATTACAGTATTCAATATCCAATCAACGGATGCACTACTTTGAAATAAAAATCTCGTGCATTATTCTAACCTTCTTTAATTGACCTCACGTATTTAATAGAGCAGTTTGGAAGATGGCCTTTAAACAATGTTCTTTAAACAATTATTATTAGAACGCTTCTTCCTTTCCGTTTTTTTCTTTTTTCTTTTTCACATACATGTTCTTCTCCCTCCACTTTCCTACATTTTGCCAACCATATTTCATGAGACTCTTTTCACCTTACAACCCTTCCCTTCTTCTTTACCGGCTCACCTCTGAACTCCCACTACACCGCCCTCCAGTGCCCTCTTCCAAGAGAAGACAGATGCTCAACATACACTCCTCTAAACCTTTTTTTGGTGCATATTCTTTACTACTAACATGACTTAAAGGGGACCTTTCATGCAAAATGCACTTTTGTCCGTCTTTTATACATGAATATGTGTCCCCGGTGTCAGGGAACTCACCAAGTGTCAGAAAACACAACCCTCTCTATTTTCCTCCATACCCAAATCTCAAAAAACGGGGCTGCAACGGAGCTGATACAGATTTGAATTTTTCTGACGTCAGAAAAGGGGTGCTCCGCCTATATGGGCAACTCTCCACCCATCAGGGGAATGGGGGGTTGGGCCACGGCCACGACCATTGCCGCTTGAAAGCGCTGGAGACGCTGTAGTACATATACCAGGCCTGTAGGTGGTGCTGTAGTCTGCCACAAAAGCAGCGAAGAAGACTTCTCACAGATTCAGCCCTTGCTAAAAACAGGGCTAAAAAAGAGCAAATAGAGCTAAATGAGGCATGGCTAAAATGCATGATCTGTTTGGTATTTTGAGAAAAAAAACTTCACAGACATGTTTTATATAGGTATGGCCCTACAATATATTATTCAAATATAGCATGATAGGTCCACTTTAACTTAGCCTGTTAAAACGTCGGAATAATCGATATTAAAATATGATTTTCATAAACAGTTATAACGTCTGTGCAGTCATTTTAAGTCAATTCTGTTTCAGTATTTGTGTGTGCAGATAAGTTTCTATTTTTACTAGTGTTTGCGTCATTGTAAAACCAAGTGTGAATATGTACGCTTGTGTAAGTGAATGTAGTCTTCTGATCTGTGGGTTGCTGGGAAGTCATCAGTCACTAGTGGGTCCCGGCAGTTATGTCTGGAGAATGGTAGTGCCTGAATTACTCCCTGTCCTCCTTGTTTTGTCTGGTTTTTTTTAAAATCTTTTGCAACTTCGTCATCTTGCCCTCTGTCTTTGGCTCCGTCGTCTTTTTGTCTTCTCTGTCTGGGACTTTTTCTCCTCCCTGCCAATGTGTAAAGATCAGTATCTTCCTCCTTAGAGTCCACATCCATCAAGTCCATTACTGCCTTGCTCATCTATCTGGACTAGAGACTCCTCCACTCTCATTTAGCCAGAACATCTAGTCTTGATTGATGATGCTGCAGTTGTTCGACTGAGCGGGAGGGATGTCATTAGTTGGCAGAGAGATGGCCGGGTAGAAGCAGATATTTTATTCTGTCTTTTTCTTTCTGTCCTTTCAGAGCAAAGAGGTTGGCGTACAGCTGCAAGAGGACCTGATGAAAGTTCTTAATGAGCTTTACACGGTAAGAAAAATCACTGACATTGCAATCAAAATATGTAGATTTGTATTAATGTTTTGTAGTATCTTGCATCTCAATGGGGAGAGCATTGCAGTTGTAGTGTTAGGGTTAGCAGTCTTTTACTTACAGGGATGTTTAAAGTTGTTAAAGAGCACATTTAAAAAAACAAAGGTACAATGTATAACATAAGATTCCAGCAATAAACTCAAAGACTACACAAAGACACGATGTGGAGAAAAAGCAGACAATTTGGCTACATCTTATAAAGATTTAGGATTTCTGGCTACACCAGCGTCTTGGCCAGCTGTTGTTTGTTTTGTCAACCACTTTAGTCAGGATTTAAATATCTCATAAAAAACTACTTGATGAACGTTTATGATCCCCAGAGGATGAAGCCAAATTATGTGGATTCCCTGACTTTTTCTTTAGCTGCACCACTAGTTCTACCAAACAATAGCACACAGAAGGAAGCACGCATCTACACATTGACGTAAAATATCTATTTAGATTTTTTTACGTTTTCAGTTGGTACGGTCATTTGGTTTATGAGCTAACACCATTCCTGTTAGTCTCAGCTGTGGTCTGTGTTTTGGGCAAATTAACGTTAAGGTTTACGTAATGTTAGCATTCAAATTGGGGATTTATTTTGTGCTTAAAATGTAAATCAGGTGCCCAATGGGCCAAAAAGCTACAAAACAGACTAATTGAGATTGTTTAAAATAAATAAGTGCCCCACTTCTGCCAAGTTTATACAATTTAAATCAGTGAAGTTTCTATCTCAGTTAATTAGAAAATCAAGAATTTTGAAGAATGACAATTGATTAGCCTTGAATGTGTATGTATTTTATCTGTTAGATATAATCAAGGTTTCTTTTTGCCTGCGGGCAAAGCAAGTTGGGAGTCTGTTCTGTAAACTCAGGCCTCTGTTACTGGGCTCTGTTGTGCTCATCATTACTATTTATAATAATTAGTCCGTCTGAATTGATCATTGATTTTTTTATGACTGTCTGTTGTTTTGGTCTTTTCGCGCTTCATAGCTTCTGCTCACATATATCAACAGTACTGTCAAAAGTACTGTGTGTGTGTGTGTGTGTGTGTGTGTGTGTGTGTGTGTGTGTGTGTGTGTGTGTGTGTGTGTGTGTGTGTGTGTGTGTGTGTGTGTGTGTGTGTGTGTGTGTGTGTGTGTGTGTGTGTGTGGGTGTGTGTGTGTGTGTGTGGTGTGTGTGTGTGTGTGTGTGTGTGTGTGTGTGTGTGTGTGTGTGTGTGTGTGTGTGTGTGTGTGTGTGTGTGTGTGTGTGTGTGTGTGTGTGTGTGTGTGTGTGTGTGTCCTCTCACAGCACATCTCTGAGCAGCAAGCCACTGTGTAGCTTAGTTCAGCCTGGCCCATAATAGCAGCTCTTATGCTGTAATTATAGTAAGAGATAGAAATAGATCTGGTTTTAGTGACGCTCACATGCTTACTCATAAAGCTTTTGTCTGCAGTGTTGTGGCGGGGTTAGAGCAGTTTAATGACCGCTCTGGTAGTGGTCGCATGAATAAGGCTGACGTGCACACACGCTTCATGTGTTTAAATCTCCAAGTCAAACTCTCGCCACCATGTCGAAGCATAGTTATGATGTACATTAAACAACTGGTTATTCAACTAATTGGCTGTCATATTCATCAAATGACCCAAAAAAAAAATCTGTGCTGTTTGTGCAATAAGCCTCAATGCTTCACTATCCTCGTTATGCGGGTTGGTTCAGAGCCAAATACAGAAGTAAGGCATCCACTGAGGAAAACACACACATTCCTGTCCTTGCAAATCTCAACTCTTGTTCCTTCCCAGGTGATGAAGACGTACCACATGTACAACACTGACAGCATGAATGCAGAGTCTAAGCTCAAGGATGCAGAGAAGCAGGAGGAGAAGCAGATGGGACGCTCCGACCGACAGACACCGCGCTCCCCCGACACCTTGTCCAGCATCAAGACAGACGAGAAGCCCGTCAGGCGCTCCAGTGTCAAGAAAATCGAGAAAATGAAGGAGAAGGTGAGGGGAGTAGAGAGGGAATCTGTCTCAGAGTGCTCCACCTGTTGTCACTCTGACTTACGACGAGTGTCTCATGAAAGATTTATGAGTGCATGACTGGCTTATTGCTAACCTTGTCCACTACAGTAGAGCCGGTCACAGCTACATGATTCTCCACTTCCTATTCAAAATCAATACAGAGGCGTTTCATTCGAACACCTATTATCCCTCTTCTTTCCTTACATCTCTTTACTTATCATTACCATCTTTTATGGATATTTTTCATCCTCTCAAATATGTTTTCCCTTCCATCTACTTTCTAATTGTATCCATCTCTCTCTCTTTTATCAGAGGCAAGCTAAGTACACAGAGAACAAGCTGAAGGCCATCAAGGCAAGGAATGAGTACCTGCTAGCTCTCGAGGCCACCAACAGCTGTGTCTTCAAATATTACATCCACGACCTCTCCGACATCATTGACGTGAGTATAAACACACCATGTTACTCTGTGGGAGCAGCTAACGTTTGTAGACATAGTGTGTCTATATTTGTGTGTGTGTGTGTGTGTGCTCTAGCCGATGGTGGCCCCTTGGTCAGTCTCTTCACATTAGCTTCAGTGCTCCTAATGAAGGCAGTAGACCGGTCCCCTCGCTGTGTTTCCTCTTCCTTGTCTCTTTCCCAACAATCCTTGCAACAGAGTGGTGTTGTAATGTGCACATGTGTTTTACCAAGTGTTTGCATGCTAAGTGTGACTATGCAATTATTTTGTGTATTCATTTATGGTTTATTTGATAGGGACAAATACAAAATACATAAACAAACTGAAAACAGCAATCGAAATGCAACTATAATATTGTTTAGGGCGGATGCTAATTTGTGAGATAGAAAGGAGACAACTTAAAAACCTTACACATAAAAGCAGGAAATGGTTACAGATTTGTTGTTGAATTAAGGTTTAGGTAGCTCTCTTAAAAGTGTTTGCATCAAATTTCAAGTCGTCTTGTATTATGTAGCATGACTTTGTTCCTCTCTCAAAAACAGCTGCCCTAGTAAAAGATGTGTGCAGATTTAAACATTACTGTTTCCACTTGTAGTTGCTCTGGTGGATCTGCTGCAGCTCTGTAATCTCTATTATGTGTGTTTGTGTGTGACAGTGCTGTGACCTGGGCTACCATGCCAGCCTGCACCGAGCCCTGAGGACGTACCTGTCTGCAGAACAGAACGTAGAGACGTCCAAACACTCTGGCATGGAGACACTGGAGGGGGCTGCAGAGAGTCTGGAGGCCAACGGGGACAAACAGAAACTGATGGAGACCTACAACAACGTCTTCTGCCCCCCCGCTCGCTTCGACTTCCAGTCCCACATGGGAGACACGGTAAAGCTGTAGTCCTTGAATCAGTATTAGGAGGGTCTTCTCTTTAGGGATAAATATTTCTGATTGAAGACCGAAGAGACAATTCACCCCAAAATCAAAAATACATGTTTTTCCTTTAATCTGTATTGCTATGTATCAATACAAATCAAAAAATGTTGTTGCGAGTTGCCAAGTGTTCAAGATATCAGCTATTGATATGTCTGCCTTTATATTTTTTATAATGGGACAAATACTATTAATGTTAAGTAAATTAAAATGCATTCGGAAAAACTCAACAGCAATGTCCCTCTACAGAAATCATGACCTAGGTGCGCAAAATAATCAGTGCAGTCTCATGAAAGAACTCTACATCCGCCAATTGCATCACCAAGCTGACAGAAACGTGCTTTTATAATCTATAACGTGTATTTTTGATTTTGGGGTGCACAGTGAAAAGATTGTTTTTGTTATGCTGTCATCACAAGTTGTTTGCCGTCTATCTTTAATCTGTGTTCTTTATGTTTGTGTGTGTAGAGGGGAGTGGTGTGTGCCCAGCAGCCTCTGGAAAGCGAGCTGCTCCAGAGGTGTCAGCAGCTGCAGTCCCGCCTCTCCACACTCAAGATTGAGAATGAAGAGGTCAGACATCTTCCTGCTTAATATTAATATTTCATCTTTTCCCCCCTTAGCAGCTGTCGTGTGTGTTAATCACAGCCTTCACTTTCTATCTCTTCTTCTCTTCCTTACCAACCATCAGGTGAAGAAAACCATGGAGGCTACTCTGTCCACCATCCAAGACATGGTGACAGTGGAGGACTACGATGTCTCCGAGTGCTTCCACCACAGCAACAGCATGGAGTCGGTCAAATCCACCTTCAGCGAATCATATCTCAGCAAGCCCAGTCTGGCCAAGCGACGGGCCAATCAGCAGGAGACGGAGCAGTTTTACTTCACAGTCAGTGCTAGTTGTGTCCATCCTTGATATGTCTGTTATATGTGATGAGCATAACCTAAAACCCCAGTGTGTGTGTGTGTGTGTGTTGTAGAAGCTGAAGGAGTTTCTGGAAGGCAGGAGCCTGATCACCAAGCTGGAGGCCAAGCATGACCTCATCGACAAGACCATGGGAGAGAGTGAGTGGGACTGTCCTTAATAGCTTTTAAGACATTGTCCATGTGTCCTGTGTGAGTGTGTGTCCTGGGAGGCCCCCCCAGTATGAGGAGATGGGTTCAGGGAAAGGCTTGGTGCCCCGAGGCGGAATAGGAAGCAGATCAGAGAGATGAGTGGTCTAATGTGACACATCAGGCCTCATGCAGGGAAGCAGAGAGGGTTTAATTTATTTAATAGTCACAAGTAATATGTGTGTGTCTGTGTGTGTGAGGTAAAGGTCACAGTGACAGTGACCATATGGGGAAGCAGCTGTGGTCTTAAGTATTACGGGGTTCCTCTGGGCTAGTTGTGCATTTCCACAACCTTACAGGATAACCTCTTCTAAAGGTGTGTGTGTGTGTGTGTGTGTGTGTGTGTGTGTGTGTGTGTGTGTGTGTGTGTGTGTGTGTGTGTTGTGTGTGTGTGTGTGTGTGTGTGTGTGTGTGTGTGTGTGTGTGTGTGTGTGTGTGTGTGTGTGTGTGTGTGTGTGTGTGTGTGTGTGTGTGTGTGTGTGTGTGTGTGTGTGTGTGTGTGTGTGTGTGTGTGTGTGTGTGTGTGTGTGTGTGTGTGTGTGTGTCCTCAGTCGGGAAGTTTGTTTTCTGTCCATCAGAAGCTGTTTCCTTGTGTGTCCTGCTTCTACTATAACTCTTTTTCTCTCTCTTTCTCCCTCCCCCTCTTCCTGTCTCTTTAGGTCAGAAGAGTGACTGTTGCCTTGCCAGGTAGGTGTGGTAAAGAAAGGAAATATGCACACACACATAGACACACACACACACACACACTCGCATATACCGTAACAGCATTTATTTTAACAGCATATATTTCTTGGCAGCCAGGGGTATTATTTCCCCTATCACTCTTTAAGGATATTTTCAACACGTGTCTGTGTATACAAATATGTTAGCAGAGTATAAATAGACTGTCTTCCGGAGACATAATGACAGTGACATTTCTTTCTCCCCCTCTGTGTAGCGGACGGAGAAACTCGGCGCTACGGAAGCAGGTAATTATCTGTCATAACTGTGCGTCTTTGTTTTTGAGCGACTGTCAGGCTCTCAGTTAGAGACGCTGTAACTTTGTTATTAACTCACGCCACATGTTTCTCACAGTGTCCTCTGCCCACAGCAGGAACAGGCATCTAGATGTTGACAATACTTTGATTATTATTCCAAACCTCAGATATTATAACTCAATATATATACATTTTTCACTGCATTTGGTGAACTGTTGTGCATTTTGAAACCACACATCAGTGATCAAAAGCAACTGCTCCATTGGGGAATCTCTTGTTTGTGGCTCCCCCTTGTGGGTAGCTTGTTTTTTTTGGCCCCCCATCTCTTACTTAACAGACAAATCAATGATTGTGTATTTCAAATAAAAGTCTGTTTTTTAAAAGATATCAAAACCACACGGGGATTCCCGTAACAATATGAACATAAATCGGCCAAAACACCTTCCATAGCCTTACCTCCCGGAGATCTCATTAAACCCCAAACAAACAAAGGTAAAAGGAAAAAGCTCTGTCTCCTAGCAACAGCTGGGTAATGTGCCAACCCTCCTTCCCCTAATCACACACATAAACGTGTTCACCGATGCATGTGCATGTGCAGACGTGTGTGCGGAAATCCTCCTGACAAGATGTGCACTGTTGTATGTGCACACCGGCCCCCTGTGTTCCTCTTTGGGGAGTAACTCCTCTCCTCCTGTTGCAGGAGTCTGGGGAAGTCATTCCTCTGATGGTGGAGAGCTGCATCCGCTTCATCAGTCGCCATGGTGAGTGAAACTCTCCAGTGAAGTGATAGGTTTAGCATCAGCTTCTTTATGAGCACTGATTGGTCGCATTGAAAAATGAAGTGTGATTGGATCTGGATCAAATTAATGTGGGAACCTTTTCAAACTCTGGCAATAGATCAAATGTGTACTTTCAAATGTTATAACCAAAGGTATTTATATAATACTGGATAAATATAAGACTAGATGGGTTGTTTACCTTCACCTTCCTTTTTTACAAAATAAAATATGGCCAGTTCTCAGCAGATATCCTACAGTAAAGATATGAAAGGCCAAAGAGCTCAGTATACTAATAAATGAAAAAAAAGCAATTGTAATCACACTTTTTCTTTGTTTGTTTTCCCCTGTATTGTTTTTCTTGTATTTTTTTGCTTTTTAATGGATTGGTTGTTTTTTTGTTGATCATTTTGTGTGTTTCTTGTTATTTATATTATTTTTTAGATGGGATGTCCGTTATATAAGTCTGTGGCTTTTTGACCGATCCTGTCATGTTTTTTTGTTATGTTCTGAATTGAATGCAATCCTATGTGTGTGAAATTAATATACAATATTTTCATGTCTACGTAGGTCTGCAGCATGAGGGCATCTTCAGAGTGTCGGGCTCTCAGGTGGAAGTCAATGACATCAAGAATGCGTTTGAGAGAGGTAAGACTATCATCCATTAGGACACCTGAGCATTTAACAACAAACAGTGCTTTTATTATCTTTTCTCCCCCACTTCCTGCTCCCTCTGTCTTCTTGTCCGGATATAGGTGAGGACCCGCTGGCAGGGGACCAGAATGACCACGACATGGACTCCATCGCTGGCGTCCTAAAGCTCTACTTCAGAGGACTGGACCATGCCCTCTTCCCCAAGGAAGTCTTCCATGACATCATATCCTGTGTCGGTAAGTCTCTCCTCCTCTTCTCTGTGTGAGTGTGTGTTTATGTGCTTGATTGTGTGAGTAATCTCCTGGGTGTTGTGGTTGTGTTCTTTTCCAGCGATGGAGAGCCTCCAGGAGCGAGCAATCCACGTTAAGAAAGTTCTGAAATCTCTGCCGAACAAAACCCTCATCATCATGAGATACCTGTTCGCCTTCCTCAACCAGTGAGTAGCAGGACACGCACACACACAGATACTAAATTCAAACAGACATTTATTCTAAGTTATTGCTGTAATATAATTTACCTCCAAAGGCAAAACAGTATACACGGTATCCCATCTGGTCCAGCTGTTTGGCTGGCCTTTAAAGCCTCCATTACCTCTGACAACTTGTTTAATGTCAAGTGAGCTTCTTGTTAGGTCTTAAACTCTTCTGAGATCTGAGGAATATCAAGAAAACAAGCTTTGGCTTCCTTATTAAATGGATACTTGGATACGCTGTACATCATTTAATAAAACATTTAGAAGCTATTGTTTATATTCACGGGATCTATAGTCATTTTTTATATAAAGATTTCAGAATATTCAGCACATTACCATACACAGACATTCATTAGTTTCATAAACAACTACAAAAGACCTTCATTTCGCTTTCTTGCACAAACATCTAAACATCCTTTTAACCTTTTTGGGTAAAGTAAAGACCCTGATCAAATGTTCTGAGTGCAACATTTTTTGATGCTATTCATTACTCAAGGAATTTCCCTCAAGTGTATTTGTATATCCCAATACCACATTGCAGTCTCAATGGGCTCACAAAAGCCACAAACCCAGGCTCTCTAAAAGGACGGAAAACAACTCTGCGGAAAACAACTCTGCGAAAAAGCATCGGCCAATTAAAACAAAGACATTCTCATCTGACATTCGTAGATTCAATAGGAGCTATAGAAGGGCTTGTGTCATAGTTAATATGTTCAAATTACTTCTGGGTAGTTTATTTCCTTTCAGACTGTTCTAATTGCCTGATTTTCTTTCATTTAGTTTTTTTTAAAGGTGCTTTTGTAGTAAGTAGTAGATTTTAAACCAAAAGTAGTACTCAATTTGATGCAGAATGTTTTTGAATGTTTGCCAAACAAACAAACAGAGACATCAATTCCACACTATCAAATCCATCTTTGAAAAACAACAACGAAGCCTTTCAGTGGTAGGGAGGTAGCAGAGGGAGTGAGGGAGATCTGAAATGTGAGACTCCTGAGTAAACCAAGCAGAGACAGAAGGGGAGCTTCTTCTTTTCCACAAGTGATTTACAGTCCCCACAATGCACCTGCTTCTTCTCAGACACTGAAACACACACATCATCAGAGCCTCAAAATGAAGTGATATGTTGAAACAGGCTGAGGTACTGTTTACTGTTTGACCTGTGCAATTCAACATGTTCACAGCTTATGCACAAGTAGGGGGCAGATGCAGGCTATAGATGACATGTCATGGTTGTTTGTGTGCATAGTGGGTTTTGTATATAGTATATGTTAAAGAAATGAAGGTGAGGTAATGATTCTTTCCCCCCTTTCCTCCCAGCCTGTCTCAGTACAGCGATGAAAACATGATGGACCCATACAACCTGGCCATCTGCTTCGGCCCCACCCTGATGTCCGTCCCCGAGGGCAACGACCAGGTCTCCTGCCAAGCTCACGTTAACGAGCTCATCAAAACTATCATCATCCACCACGACACCATCTTCCCCGGGCCACAGGAAGTGCAGGGCGCCATCTACATCGTCCCTGGAGCTGGAGATGACTTCTGGTGAGGACAGGAAGTTGAATAGCTAAGACTTTAAGGACTTCAGGGAGTGTCCTTCGAGTGTTGTCTAACTACAGGGGGGTTGGAGATGATGAGGCGAGGAAAACAGTATATTAATTCAAAACAGATTATGGTAAAAACTAAAAGGGTAGAAGAAGGTGTGTCTAGTTTAAAAACTGAAATAGATAACCTAAATCAGGGATTAATATACAGCATGAAAATCGATAATATTGAATTTGGAAATTCAGTAGTTTAACAGCAACAGGGTAAGATTGAAAAACAGGACAGCACAGATTCACACAGATTAATAAAATTAGGATAAAATCAAAGAAATGTACTTTAAAATAAGAAATTAATTCAAATGAACATATATACATATTTGGTCATGTAGATGAGTAGATGAATAGAGGCAACATTAAAGCTAGTAAAAACCAATTTAAGGTAAATTCATCAAATGTAGAAAACAGGTTCTATTGTAGACATGTAGAAATATGTTCTGAGGCAAATCGAAAATATACATTTAAAAAGTTAATATTAAAAAAGGAAGGGGGGCAGGTGGTTGATTTAGGGACTGTCGTAGAGTGATGGAGGGGCTCAACTTGTCTGCTCCACTTAGGGCTAGGGGGGGCCCCGGGGATCAGCTTACCCTCCATCACACAGCATGCTTAGGAGCGCCTGACCACATCAGCATGCACACACACACACACACACACCACAATGCATACGAGGGTCAATTTGACACTAATGACTAGCCTCTGCACCAGTTATCATGATCGCTGCCAGTCAGTGCGGTGGCTCAGGCTGTTAGTCATGCTGGAGGAGCAGCTCTCAGTCTGTACTGTAGAGAGTGGAGACAGGAAAACACTGTAACACTGGCGGGGCTTCATTGCACCATAGCTAGTATTTACTTCCTGTGATCAGTACTGTACTTCTAGGACATATAGGCCATTTAGAGAAGGTCCACATTGACAAATGTAAAGGACATATAGTGGGTGTTTAATTTGTTGATTTCAGACTCAATATTGATTCATTAAAGCAGAATTTGTCAACATTCAAGCCAACAAGATAAATTAATAAAGCAAGTACAGTTATTCTAATATAATTGCACTCATCGCGGTGTACAGTTATCTTTACAACAATAAAATGTATCCACAACCACATTTATTTTTGTACAGTACATTGATAACTCTAAATCCATGGCAGTGTGACTATATATAGAATTACAATTTACAGAAAATATTACAAAGCATATATATATTCACATATATTGGAAGACTTATTTTTTTATGTTAAGTCAGCTTTCTGTGGGAGAATGAAGAGTGCCTTTAGCCTTAGACTCAGGACCTCAGTAAAATCCTGTCTTTGACCTTATTTTAAATCCAAGCAGAGAAAGAAGGCACATTTTAAATAAATAATGTTTTTCAGGGAGTGTAGAGGTTTGCGACCTGGCTATAACCTCGACACTAAGCAGTGGTGTGGTGCATGCCGTATGATGTTATGTGATTTATAAAGAGGAGTATGAGGTCAGACTGTGAGTCATCAACACATGTTGTCCATCCGAGACTTCTGTATTTTCTAACTTGTCTGCTGTCTGTGTCCTCCTCAGTGATAGTCCACACTGTGAGCCCCCCCTTGTGGAAGAGCCTGCGCCTGAAACCGTCTCTGTCAGCCGCAACAGCGAGGATGGTGCGTGTAACACACACACAGGAATACGTGCAATACATGTGGTTTATATACTGTACATAATGTTTACTTTTGCACCAGTTTATGAAATCTCATCCTGCTTTGCTTACCAGTTATGGCTCTAACCGTTTAAACCAGCTCACATCTTTCTCCCAGTAACTCGTTTATTATTCTGCTTTGTAACTTTTAACATTTGTGCGGTCACTAAATACAGCTGCACTAATCTGCTATGCACTAATCTGGCTCCCCTTCTCGTCCACCTCTCTTTTCCTCTCTTCATTCGTTGCTGCCTCCTGCTTCTCTGTCCACGCCCTGTGTCTGTCCACCGCTCTCTGAATCTCAGGCTCCTTGGCCGTTTCAGAGTCGGACGCCTTCGAAGCCATCGCTCGGTTTGACTACTCCGGCCGGACTAGTCGGGAGTTGTCGTTCAAGAAGGGCGCATCTCTGCTTCTCTACCAGCGGGCCTCTGACGACTGGTGGGAGGGGCGGCATAACGGCGTGGTGGGCCTGGTGCCGCATCAGTACATCGTGGTGCAAGACATGTAATATTTTTACTTTTTTTCTGATTTTTTTTTCACTTATATGGCTAAAGGGTTTTAAAAGGGCGGGCTTTTTGTCAATGCAAACAAAAAGTGTTTGACAGTAACATTTATTTCAGAATCAGAATACCTTTATTCGTCCTACAGAGGGGACATTTGCATTTGTTACAGCAAGAAAAGAGCAAAAGACAGCTTAATATTACCCAAGAAGCATGAATTAAAAATATTAAAGATACAAAATTAAAAGAAAAATTACACAATTTACAAAATACACATTCCTATCAACGTTCATGATTACCAAACGTAGAGGGAGTAAGTAAAAAGTAATCTAGATGAGCTTTTTAGACAACAATTTAGTGATTAATACACAGGATAACAAATATGCCTTTTCACTTTGGGTTACCGCTTCCTTAATTTAAATTAAAACGGGTAACAAAAGAGTTTATAAGAATCAGTGTTCATTATTCATTTAGAACAGTTTTTGCAGAAGAGTTTTGATCACTACTTGTGTTTCCTTACGAAGTTTTCCCGTGGTCTGTCTGGATACGAGTCATAAGTAAGTGATTATAAACTATTGTTTCAGGCCTGACGGGGGCAGGGGAAGTCCAAAGCCTGATATGGACAGCAAGGAGCTGCTGGAGGAGAGAGTTTCCACCAGGGTCAGCGCTGCCTCTCCTACTGGAGCTCATGTGGCCGACATCTACCTGGCCAACCTCAACAAGTGAGTCTCAGACTGTTCATAAATCATATGGAAGTAAGAACCATGAGATCTCTTATTTACCGGAGCTCTTTCAGCTGTAGACCACCGAAGACCACCAAACTCTATAACTCCTCACCCTTCAGTAAAGGGAACTGAGAACTTCCACACTATGTGCAATATAAATACCATGACGATCATGACAAAACACTCTGTGCTATATAACATGTGCAATATTATTAATAATGTTCTATAATAATGTGCAATTACGTATCTGCCACTACGTTGTTTTGCACCTCTCAATACTGCTCGTCACTGTGAAGTTTTTTACATGAATTATTTGACCGTCTATGTTACTTGTAGTTTTTACTGCACTGTTAGTGTTCAGTTTTATTATTATGCTGCTTTGTTTATTGTATCTTTGTAACTCTGGCACAACAATTTCCTTCGGGATAATTAAAGTCCTGTCTTATCTCTTATCTTAGATGACTTATGATTAAAGATTTTTGCTGTCGTTTTTGGACTTTCCAGAGTGAACATCGTAAATACAAAAATATAACTAATATTTGTCTCATTCAGGTTGAGGAAACGTCCGGAGTCCGGCAGCATCCGTCGATCGTTCCGCGGCTCAGAGAGCGAAAGTCCAGGAAGTCCAGTAAGTCCAGGACCCAGCGGAGGGGGAGGAGGAGGGGTGAGAACCGCTTCCCTCCCTGTTGGTGGGGCTCTGGTGAAAGAGAGCGGAGACAAACGACCTGTCAGCGCTCACAGCATCCTCAACTCAGTCACTCGCCACTCCTCTCTCAAGACCAAGGTACTGTTCCAGCTTTCCTTCAACACATTAAAGAAACACTTCATCCTAAAATGACTAATTGTATATCAATTACTCGCCCTGTGTTACTTTGAATTCTTAAAAAAAAGAACTTTGTTTTCCTCATGTCTTCACGGTAAACAAAGAATCTAAAAATGGAGAAAACCTTGATGAATTAAAGTAAATGGGTGTCGATTTTTAACAACAACAAAACTATATCAAAAACATCAGTTTAAAAATAATCAACTTGTGCAGTATAACTCGATCTCATTGATCTATTTCTATGCTCACTTCTTGCTAAAACCATTCTGCTTAAACGTAACTATTTAGTGCACCTGTGTATGCAATGAAACTGTTTATATTACTATTTAAGTTTCAAGCGGTAAGATAAAAAAAAAAACTAGTGTGTCAGGCCAGGTTTATCAAACCCTTATACCCCCTATATTATTGACCATTGCATTTTTAGATGTGAACCGAGAAAGAAGACATTATACAGCCATTTAAAAACCTATACTATAATCCCTTTCTGTCCACTGTCTGCGTGTCCTACTTTCCATATTGACACGTCTGTGCAGTAAAAAAGAGTGTGGACCTGCTAAACAAACCTATGCTGATGCTATGACTTCTATTACAATATGCCTTTTGAACATTCATGACATAAACAGCAGAGACCAAACCAACAGCACCCCCGTGTGTGAAAAGCGACTCATTACATCGAAGCGTTTATTGAATAATGTTTTGATATTTTCCATTGAGTCAATAACTTGTTAACCATAAGTGTTATTCGAATGTAATTGTTAGAGTGACTTCCTTTCAATTTCTTTGTATATTAAAAACTTTGACCTGAGTGAAAGAGATTCAGCAAAACTCCAGCATGTTTTGGATATTTACAGATCTGTTGTTGAATCAGAATACCTTTATTAGTCCCACAGAGGGGACATTTACATTACAGCACACAGCATACATTACATTTGTGGCACATTAAGAGCCACAAACAGCTTAATGAATATGTTACAACATTAAAAAGTATTAAAGTTTCAAAATGTCTTTAAAATCTTGGAGTGCTGCAAGATCATTAGTAGAGAGCATAGGACTGATTAAATGACACCTGGATTAAAAATTGGATGATTTTTTGATCCAGTTGTCTTTTGTTTCATCAATTATTTTCTCTGTCCCTTTAAGAACTCAAGGGAATGTCATTGTAGTGAATGTACTTTTTAATTTTGGCCAGCATTTAATTGTGGACATTATGAACATTTAGGTGGAGAGTCCACAGCTACGCAAGACATCTTCAGCAGGCCGCTCCAAAAGCTTCAGCAACCACAGACCGCTGGACCCTGAGGTGTTCTCCCAGGTGGAGCACAGCTCACAGGTACTGCTTCAGATCACCTTCATCCACAGCTGCCACTTTGGGTGTTTGAATGCACAAGATAATAAGTATTTTCCTCTCTCTCTCTCTCTGTCTCTCTCAGGACATTGAGGCTACGATGACCTCTGCGCTGAGTGAGCTCAGTAAATTGGAGAGGCAGAGCACATCGAAACACACACACACCCCGGACGTGGTGCTGGACACACTGGAGCAGCTGAAAGGTGTGTGTGGAGGAGGAGGAGGGGGAGGAGGAGCCTCGGAGCCCTCCAGTCCTCTCCACTCCCGTCTGCTACGGGACAGCGAGGGGGCTTCCTCACATGCACACCCGCTTCAGCGCAGCGCCTCCTCGGCCAGCGACGTGCCCTCCTCCTTCCGCCCGGCCAAGAGCCAGCCGCGGAGCCCCCTGCCCTCCGCCACCTCCCCCTCTCTCTCCTCTTCCTCCCTCTCCTCATCTGTACCTTCCTTCAGAGAGCTGCGCCCCCCAGCAACGAGGCCCAAGCCGGTGGTGTTCCCAAAGAATGGGAGCGGCAGTCCAGCCATGGGTTCCCCGACCTCCACTGTGCCCCCTACTCCTCCTCCTCCACTTACAAGCCACTCGCTCCCTCACACCCCTCCTCCTCCGCCCTCACCCCAGTCTAATGACAAACCCTGCCCGGTTTAGGACTTCCCAATCTGACCCACGATAATGATTCTCACAAACTCTTAGATTTCTTACAGCTCTTCTACAAGCAGATGCAGAAAGCACTTCATTTGATTGACACAAGACCTAACCCACTACTCATGTGTAGCATGCACTTCCTGGTGTCCAGGCGAGTTTCTAAGACGCCTTGTTCCCTTTGGTCAAGAGTTTTTTCAGCCCTTTCCTGGCAGCTCTGCTTATTGCAGTTCAACTATCAGAGGGTGTTAATACGAGAGAGAAAAAAATACACTTCTGTTTCTTTTGCCATCGCAGAGATCCCAGGCATCACTGGATTTAAAACATTATTCACAAGGGAACAGGACTCAGGACGGACACCTACAGATTACATACACTAGTTTGTGATGTTTGAAAATTGTGTTTGAGTGGGCGTGCAGGAGTGTTACTTGCCTTTACACACAGATCAAGTGAGGAACAAAAAGCACTGTTTGATTTTTGTATAGTAGACATTTTTTTCTTTTCATTTTATTGACCCATGACTAGCGGACTGGAAGGGAACGTTTGATTCCCGAGAATAGACTGTGAAATGCTAAGCTCTTGCTCTGTGTAGAAATCAAACACACTGACCTGCTGCTTCAGGAGTGGAAGACTGGAGATGAAGGTGGTCTTTTGAGATGATGAAAGGAAAGAAAACTGGGCCAAATATCAGTGTAAGTCATGTGATCCAGGGCTTTATTTGATCTCTTCCTCAAGTGTTTGATATGTTGGTGATTTCTTTTTTTTTCTTTTTTTATTACTGTTCAGTACTCGTCACAACAGGAGCAGTGTTCTCCAAAGCCTAACATGGCCACTAGTAATTCTGAATACACATATAGCAATACAGATGATAAAAGCTGGTAGTTTGAGGCATTACGCTGCTTCTCTCCTGCAGCTCTATTATGTGTGTAGGGGACCACTGAAACACAGCATTTTTATAGATAATGCTGGACTGTACACATACACACACATTCCCTCCAAATGTGTGTGTGTTGGTGTTTTGTGGCAGCTAAAAAAAACGTTCAGGTTTTCCTTGCATGCTGGGGCCATAGAGGGCAGCCACTATGGCGAGCTGGCAGCTTATATATCTGCAGTACCAGCCACGGGACGACTTCAAACAAACACAGCTTGCTCCTTTAACTATATACTTAACAGTAAAAAGGGTTATATTATTCTAATGGTGTGTATGTATGTTTTAATTAATCTTGATGATAACTGGAAGCATGGAGCTGAGGATCCTCTTGAGTGTGTTTTGAGATAGAAGCACAACCAACCACCTCATCCAATGGGCTCTTAAGCAAAAATGTTTTGTTATTACTTTTTGTTCCCAGTTGTTAATTAATGCTCAGAATCTGTAATGAAAAAAAAAATGTTGAACTGTGTATCTGTCTGGGTGTGTGCCTGTGTGAGCATGCGTGGATGTGTATTAGTATGTATGCACCTCACCCCCCACCCCTTGCCTCACGCATTACATATGGATGCCTCCCAACAGCATCTGTTTGAAAATGCCTCTCCCATATTATGGAGTACAAGCAGCCTTAGTTCTTACAAAATAATCACTATGTACATGTGTTTAGAGAAAAATATGTTGTCTTGCCTGGAAGAATCAGGACAAGAACATCAGAATCCAAGAATTAAATCTTAAATAAATAAATATATTATCTGCTAAAATGTACCCTTTGCCAAATTAGATCTGATGATGAATTAAAGAATACATGAATACTTTTGTAAACACTGACTTGGACAAATGGCTAAACATAAGACCTGTTTTTGAAACAGTATTGAGCTCATTTTACAGAGGCTTCCACATATTCTCCTCTATCACGCCCGTTCCCCGTCTACCAGGTAATGAATTATACTTGTTAAGGTTTATTTTTTATATCTGTTTACTGTTCGTGTAATACCTGGTGTATTCGTGTTGCTCTTACCTCATCAGAACAACTGGAGGGACTGTGACTGTGTGTTTGCCCTACCAGCACACACACTCACACATACAGATATGCATGTGGTTGGTTGGTTTGTTTTGTCCTGGCTGTGCCGTTACGGAGAGCTGGGACCCTCTTCGATCTTAAATCAATCATGGTGCACTTGAACAACTTGGCTTGCGTGTGGACTAACTGTGTGGGGATGATTTGTCAGAATTGAATATTGTTAAATATGCATTTTTGTGTCCATTTGAAAACAGCAGAACTAAAAAAATGACTAATGTCAAATCTATTTATAGTTGTCTCTGTATTACTGGAGAATCCTGTGTTCAGATGTACTTTGTATATACAATGTTGTACATTACAGAGGTACACTCTTTTTTGGTACAATATTGTACAGTAATAGCAATAGTAGTTTAATCAAATAGGCCTTATATAATTCTATGTGTAGTTCTTGTAGTAGATCTGTTTTTTAATAAACATTGCTTGCTATAAAGAGCTTTGAATTATTTGATGTCTGTAACAATAAAGAAAACCTATGACACGTTTCATTTCAGAAAATCTTCCATTAAAAACATTAATAAAGTAGCTGAACTTGGTGGAATTCCCCTCTAACAGAACAGTCACATACTGTACAGTACTCAGGGGCGCCGCCAGGGATTTTGTGCCCCATGAAAATATATCACATTGGTTACTTAAACATGTTTTTCTTAATGTTCTAAAATAGTTTGGGCCCCTGTCAGTCACGGGCCCTTATAATCGTCCTAACTTTGTACCCCCTTACGGCGCTCCTGACAGTACTGCAGTACCTGACAACACAGTGAACATGGAAAAGGTTGGTCATACACCAAACCAAATAACATTCATCTACATTGTTATTGTACTAACTGTAATTAACAATATTAACGTCTTAAGTTGCCTTGATCTGTTTATCAAAGCTGATAAATGTGCAGCTAGTTTTAATGACTTTGTATACTGCAGGGTATTTTGAGAGTGTACTCCAGGTGTAATTTAAGTCTTATTTAAATGTTGATTATATTGCACATCATTAATCCCAATCTGTAAAGTAATTGACGGCATTAAATAAATGTAGTGGAGTAAAGATACATGATTTACCTCTGAATTGTAATAGAGTAGAATTACAATGACTTAAATGGAAATACTCAAGTAAAGTAAGTATCTCAAAATTGTACTTAAGCACAGTACTTGAGTAAATGTAGGCTACTTCCCACTTCTGCAGATAATTGGAAATAGCACGGTGGAAATTCCGATGTTTCCCTTTAACATGAATGTGTACAACATGTATCTAAGAGAAAAAACAGTCACAAGTTGAGGAAACAACTTTATATAGCTACGCCTAGTAATGTCCCATAGAGAGTGTTTTTAAAAACATTTTACTCAATATAATCTCTCATTGAATGTCACAGACAGAAGGTCAGCGAAACTGTCAAATCTGCCATTTATATCCGCCACCATTTATGAATAGACATATCCGGTGTGAAGTCTACACTTCCTAAATCAGTCACAAAGGCTGCCAGACTTTGAAGGATCTCATGAAATCTTTGGATCCACGTAAGAAGGAAACAACAGGAAACTCTCGTGCAGCTGGTCTAAACTGTACCTGCTTAGACAGCAGCTGTGTCACAGTACGGACGAAGTTTCACAAGAAGGCGTGTTTCGTTTGTCAAGCAAATTGAATTTACCGTACATTCACGAACCAGTTTGAGCTGATATTTACAAAACTGACAATTACTTTGACGCTACATTTCACGGAAAGGGCTTGCTGGTAGATGAAATCAGCGACTCAGTTTTCACCGATTTCAGGTCGGATTAAAGTACAGCCAACTGCAGCTGTCCAGGTAAGCTAACAATGCTGCTAACTTTTATAAATTAACTTGTACAATAGTTTACTGAACTGCTTAATTCTTACCAGCATATACGTAATTCCCAAATAATTTAGTTATTACTGAATTGTTGTTAAATACACAGACAACCAACGTAGGCTGGCTGTCGGTTAAATTAGCTAACAAAAGTCATCAGAGCATAATGTGTAGCATAATAACTAAATTAAGTAAACTGCAGCTGTGAAATGTACATACATGTATCAAAGTACTTTACTACAACTTTGAGGTACTTGAACTATAGTTCAGTATTTATAAACAATATATAAACTTCTTCATTATTCAGTAGGCTACTTTTACTTTTTAAACTTTGAGTGTATTCTGATGCTAATTCATGCTAAGTTAGTCTTTAAATGCTTGAAGTATGGTATTACTGAATACTTCCTCCCCCACTGATTAACTTTTAACATTTCGTATACAATGAAGGCTTGTCTCTGTTAAATTAGATTTTAAATGCTTGACTTTTAGATAGCATAGCATTTGTAAAGTGTGGTGTTACCTGAATACTTCCTCCACCACTGGTTACCTGTTAATATTTATATTTGGTGAGGAATATGGATTTATTTGACAATGTTGTTATGCTTACCCACTTAGCTTATTAACAGATAGTATGTGTTTACTTAGTTCTGTATATTAATAACACATTTTAAGGGTTTTATCTCCCTAAGAATGCAAAGACAATCAGGTCTTGTCTCTGTTGATATTTAAAAGACACTGTCTCTGTCTCATACCCCCAGCATGTCGGGGATGACGGCCAGTACACCAAACTACCTGTGGTCTTTACAGGATGTCCTTGGCCAAGGAGCTACTGCCAGTGTCTTCAAGGCACGCAACAAGGTAGCCACGCTGCTAAGTTAACCTACACTGTTAAGTTAACCTACACTGTTAAGTTAACCTACACTGTCAAGTTGTTTTCCCCCTGAGCAGCTCACTCACATCACTGCTGCCAATATCTCTGATGTTTCAGCCTACTTGTTGGCCTAAAAAGCGTCACCAGGATGTGCGATAAGAAAAGGTTGTGGTTGCAGTGCAGTGCTGAAGTTTGCTGGTCTTTTATGGTGTTGTGACATGTTAAACTGATGTTAACAGGACTGTGTGTGTGTGTGTGCAGAAATCGGGTGAACTGGTGGCTGTCAAGGTGTTTAACATGGTGAGCTACAACCGTCCCCATGAGGTCCAGATGAGAGAGTTTGAGATGCTGAGGAAGCTCAACCACAGCAATATTGTCAGGCTATTTGCTGTGGAAGAGGTAAGGCTACTGTGTGGAGGAAAGACAAAAGAAAACACATCCAAGGCTTCAGTTTTGTTCCAAATTAAATGGAACATGGGATAGGAAAGCATTTAGTACCTCTGGTAACTTAACTTACATTTTCCTAATATTTACAATCTTAAAGGAAAGCACTCTTCTCTCTCTGCCTCTCTCTGTCTGTTTGTCTATCTCTTTCTCCAGCTGCCCTCTAAACAGAAGGTGCTGGTGATGGAGTATTGTTCAGGAGGAAGTCTGCTCAGCCTGCTCGAGGAGTCAGAAAACGCCTTTGGCCTACCTGAAGCAGAGTTCCTCACAGTTTTGCAGTGTGTAGGTGGGTATATATCTTTGTATTTCCCAATCATTTCATACGTTTAAGCTGAAGTATTCCTCCCTTTCCTTTCTGCAGTGCAGGGGATGAACCACCTGCGGGAAAAGGGGGTGGTACACAGAGACATTAAGCCGGGCAACATCATGCGGCAGGTTGCGGAGGACGGCAAGTCGATTTACAAGCTGACTGACTTTGGAGCAGCAAGAGAGCTGGAAGATGATGAGAAGTTTGTGTCTATTTACGGGACTGAAGAGTATCTGGTAAGATGACAGTCACATTATAAACATATTAATCCTATGTTAAGTGCTATCTGGTAATAATCATCATTACTTTGAAAGAGACTAGATGAGCTCATGCATTCGTCTATGCCGCACAATGCCTAGAATAAAAAACGTTTGATTCACCCAAATATAAAATGTACGGATAGTAAAGATGAATTACAATGACGATATAAATAGTAGGTAAAATTCTTTGAAGATTGTTTTTCCTATACCCTGAACAGCCTACAAGACAATTTCATAAACCTGTTTGATGTCGTAGCAGTTCTGTTATGGAGATTTGTCTCCACCATGTGTTGTTCAGAGTTCCCTTACATCATTAGATTCACTCATATTTCACTACTTTTGCCTTTAAGAGTTGGGGGGACGTTATTAACAGAAATGTGCTTTTCTGCCTCAGTGAAGGGGGGCGTTGCTGAGGAAGTTCATTCCTGCTCAGCTAAAGCCCTGGATAGAAAAGTGAATTGATAAAATGTGATGAAATAATAAATACCATTGTATCAATGGGCTAAGTCAGCTCGCTGCACTCTGTTATAGGTCAGTTACAAGATTATTACATCTATCTATAGACTGTATTCATATAAATACATATATGTATGTAGATCAATCAGTGCAGTTTGGTTGCAGAAACGGCATCTCTTTTAACTGCTGTAGTAATAGCTTGTTATTGTGAAAAGACAGTATATAGTTAGTCATTCATTTCTTTGCAGTATCCATTTTCAAAATCAAGGACGCAATCAATATTATAGTATATCACTGTTCCTTTTTTAAATTAAAATCATATTACTTTTACTGCTAAAAAAGCCCCATTTCAGTGTTTTGTTACGATCTCCACCATTGCATTTAAATCCCCTCCTAGCTTGATGTGAAAATCACCCTGTGTCAATAAAGTTTGATAGTGACTGTTTTATAGTAATCTTAGAACTTATATTTTCAAGCCTTGGTATCCCTCTAGTGGACAAATGGGTGTAAGGCCATTCATAAAAGCACTGATACACTTGTGCCTGCTACTAAATTGTGGATATAATACATGTTAAGGCAGAACACTGCATTAACTTGACACTTAAATACATCTCAAAATAAAGTCATATCAACATATGACTTGCTTGTATCCTCTCTTCTTACCCTGCGTGTGTGTGTGTGTGTGTTTGTGTGTGTAGCACCCAGACATGTATGAACGTGCTGTGCTGCGTAAGCCTCAACAGAAGTCCTATGGTGTGAGCGTAGACCTGTGGAGTATTGGTGTGACATTTTACCACGCTGCCACTGGGAGTCTTCCCTTCACACCGTACGGAGGACCCCGCAGGAACAAGCCCACCATGTGAGTTAATACATTAAATCACAGACCACACATTTCTGAATTTCTAACTCTACTCTATCTTTTTATTATATTGCCAGTTTTCTATTTGATTTTTCTGAGCGGGACATTATGTTGACAGTGAGTCTTAAATATCTAAAGCTCCTTCTCATCCTACCAGTAACTTATATTTTCTCAGTCTGAATAAAACCCCACCATCCATTTGATTTGTTCCAAACGCTTAGATTGCTGCTTAGAAAAAAGATGATCTGCATGGTGTTTCTTCAGGAAGCCTGGAATATCTGCGAGAACATGAATATTTATCAATCACCCATCAGCATTACATGTGTGTTTTTATTTTGTAGGTTCAAAATAACTACAGAGAAGCCCACAGGAGCAATAGCTGGAGTGCAGCGGATGGATGGCGGGCCTATAGAGTGGGGCTACCGCCTCCCTCACAGCTGCCAACTCTCACAGTATGTCACCAAATAAAGAGCTTGTAATCATGCATCTCTGTCTTTAATGACAACACACTGCTTACATTGTCTTGATTTAACCTCTTTCTGTCCCTCTCTGTGAGTAGGGGTCTGACGGCACAGCTGGTTCCAGTTCTAGCTGGTATAGTGGAGGCTGACCAAGACAGGTGTTGGGGTTTTGAGCAGTTCTTCAAAGCCACCACAGACATCCTGCAGCGGCAGCCAGTTCACCTCTTCTCTCTGCAACAGGCCATGGAACATTGTATCTACATACACCACTACAGCACGTAAGACTGCACAGGTGTATCTTCACACACATTCATCTGATAAAACACAGAGTAATCAGTCCACATGTTCACAGGACTGTTTACTACATAGAAGACTTTGATGCAAAGCTAATTTGCTAACTGTCAGATAAGAGTCAGTGATACCTGAAGTAAAGATAGCGAGGATGCCACAACTTTGGCATGTCATTTATTTGTTCAAAACTAAACTTGAGTTTTAAACTGCTGATTTGTGTCAATATTTTTTCCCAACTTTCATTTTGTAATTATGGTGGCAGTGTTATTGGTGCCACAGGTATTTATTTTCAAGGCTGCCCAAAGATTATTGCTGCAGCGCTATGCCAATTATATATTTGAAATGTGCCTCACTGCTTATTTGGTGTTTTTGTTTACTTGGTGGGGTTTTAAGGATCGATATAGATGAGGTACTGCAATGTGGGATGATAACACATGTTGGTATTTTGGTCCAAAGTTATTGTAATATATGATTCATCAGTTGATGATACCACCAACAAGCAAAACATGTGGATCAAATTCAGGATTATGAGTATAATGTATGAAAACAATGCCCCCTCCCCCTCCCCCCTCGGTTCTCTCAGGGTGTCTGTATTCTTTGAGGAAGTGGCGGCTCAGACTGGTATCGCAGTTCAGCTGCAACACCTGCTGTACCTGGGTCACGACCTCCCTCTGGAGGGCAACATGAAGGTGGTCAACCTCCCACCTACCACACCTGCCCGGCCCCTCATCCTGCTCAGCTACGGGCCTGAAGCAAACGCCAGCCTGCCCTTCAGAGAACGTGAGACAACAAACGATACGTTTCCTCAAGCCTTTCCTCTTCTTTATTCCTTGATATGAAAGAGCTTTGATACGAGGTGTTTTCCAGTATCACAGTGACTCACACGACACACACACACATCTTTGTGAATGAGCTTTTTTAAGCGAAATGTGTTTAGTAATATTTATGTGAATGCCAATCTCAGATAAAGGGAAATTATATTTTAAAAGATGAATGTTGGTTAAAATGTAAAGTAATCACATTTAAAAATAACGTCTGCATGCCCAGGCACACTCATATTAGAGTGTTTCCATATGTCATGGATTGTTTCTGGTGTGTTTCCATTCATTCTGTAGCAGAGACTCCAATCATCCCGTCCAGGTTTGACGTTCTGGCAGACTACAATTTCTCTAAGGTACTGCTGATTCACCGTTTTTATCTGCCATCCAAATGCCTTATTAATATTTGTATTGTATGTAATAAAAGCACCCAACACATTATTTATGATCTCCTCTACTCCCTCCCTTCTCTGTAGGTAATGGTGGGAGTGGTCCACCAGTATCTGAGGATAATAAAGTTGCTGCACACACACCAAGAGCTGCTGCTGCAAGGATATTACAGCTACATGTGAGACACACACTCTTAAATGCACTGCTTGACGTGCCTCTGAGGTTGTGTACGGGCTGTACGTAATGACCCTTATCAAACTCTTCTCACTTCCATTTGTCCTCCTCCCTCACACTCATTGTTTCTCAGGATGAGGCTGCGAAGAGAGTGTGAAGAAGCGATGCACAGTATCGCCATGGTCACCGTCAGACTGCAGTCTTGTCTCAATGTAGAACACAGGACTCACACACTGTGAGTAAAATGCATCTGAGATCTCTTAGAGGGTTGAAATGTCCAACTGTGTGTTTAAATGACGTGTGTTATGATACAAAGCAGCAGAGGCTAATAGAACTAGTCATTGTGATGTAGGTGTCTGACTACTCTGTTAATGTAACTGCTATCAATAGATGTTGTAGATTGACAAATCACATATTTGATATTTAACCTACAACCTCGTTCTTTTTTCTCCCACTCTCTCCCCATATCCATGGCCTCTTTGTTTTTCTAAGAGGCCATTATGATTCTGAAAACCAGGGTTCAGCTGATGGCAGGCAAAAGCTGCATCTGGTAAGTACTGTCAGATATTACAGCTTTTCTGGCAGATGGAAATACTGTTGCCAATGGGTTTTTCCCCTTATTGTTATGCCATTATTCCTTTTAATAATCAGCGTGTAATGGAGAATTGCACATCATTTGTAGGGATACATATCCTCATTATTGAGTAGGACTGGGAAGACTGAGATGCAACATTACTGGACTCAAATCACTTTTATTCGGAACGCTCCAAATGTAAACTCCAGTGTTTTGGATTGTATACCATTCATTTTGGGGCAGATTTGTGATTTTTTTTGTTATGTGGCTGCCGTCTCTCCAGGTCCGTGAGCACTTGCCTATTTACGCTGGCGGTATCCAAGAGTTTCAGAACCGACTGGACCATCTGCAGATCGAACAGGCCAAGTTAGCAGAGACGCTGGCCAGTGACAAGAGGTACTCCCTCCCTTCAGTAACTAATTGCTCTCCAACACAAATGGCTGTTCTAATGTTGCACTTCCTTTCAATGCCACGACTATTCCGTCACTGTTTTTTCTATTGTATTTAAAGCAAGATGTTAATGTACCTGTTTGATTGTTGCAGCAGTTAACCTTGATAAAAAGCAGAACTGTTTTTTATTTTTTGTCAATGTTACCATTAAAAACATTTTTGTTAGCTTGGGGGAGCAAGCACAAAGCCTTACGGTGGCCTCATGAGTTTGTGGTGTTTGACCTCTGACCTCTTGCCTCCCACAGCTGTCAGAAGATGGAGATGCTGCTGCAGAAGATAATGGCAATTCATCAGCATTACCGCAAAGACAGAATGACTGGCAGTATGTGTTTACCTTTTTGGGTATAGACTTTATTACTCTTTTTGTACATGTTCAAATTGACAATACCTCCCTGTTTTCTGTATCTCTCCACAGAGTTGGCGTACAATGACGAGCAAATCCACAAGTTTGAGAAGTGAGTATGTAATGTCCTGCTCACCCTGCCTGTGAAGGATGTCATTCTGAACTCTCCTGTAATCTGCTTGTCACTCTTCCATCCCAGACTCCACCTGTCGGCCCACATTAAGCGAGTGAAATCTCTCCTTAAAGACGACTGCGTACAGAGATACAAAGAGCTTTTGGCCTCAACAAGGACATGGAGCAGGTCAGAGCCGCCTCTCGAGTCCTTTTCACACGGCAAACAATCTTCAGAATCACCTCAGCTCCCAACCACTACAACTATTTATTCACAATGAGACAACTGTTTGTTAGATGTTATGATGGAAGCTTATATGGAGATAAGCACAGGACTGTAGGGCATTGCTATTCATCGTTTCTTCTCAAACTGAGTGAATTGGTAGTCTTCATTGTAAATCTTCACAATACACTTGTTTAGGAAGTGATATTAACATTATGAATGACTTTACGCTATCATTATTTAATTACTTTTTGATTTTGTTCGGATAAACCAATCCAAACTGACGTCTTATTTTGAACTGGAGCATCTGCAGATGATATGATACTCGTAATGTTACAAAGCTCTAAAGTAAGGTACGATACGTGACGAATAAAAGCACATTTCTGTTATCTTTGCTGCCACCTTGACTGTAAGGGACATGAAAGGAATGATTGAGGGACTTCCAACGTGTCTTTGTTTAGGGGGAGAGCGAGGGATGCACCACTGAGTGACCATTTCTAGTTTTTCTCCTTTGTTTCGAAATTATATTTGTATTTATCTTCTACACATCACATTTCGACACTACAAAATACCTTCACATTGGATTTCTCTTCTGCTTTGGCCTTTAACCCGTTGCAAAGATGTTGAGTTGACTAACTGAAGTGTGTCCCTTCTGTATTTGCAGTGTGTTGCTGGAAATGCAGACTCGACTCCAGGACTTCTGCTCTTTCTCCACTGGCTTGTTGGCAGACCTGGAGATGAGTGAGCAGCGGCAAAATACTGTACGGTCAACATTTCACCTTCTATGGAACTAATATCAAATATTGTAACATAACACAAAATGGTTACCTGATGTTTATCATTATCAGTTCAGTGGTCATGTTAGTGATTTAACCCATGTAGCGTCTCGGTGATGATGTCTCATCTGTCCTCCGCAGGCTCTGGACAGAATCCTTTCCACTCTGCAGTCCACTGGAACAGGACCACAGCCTGAAATTGCACCTAGAGACAAGGACCAGATGGTTAATAGGTGTGTGATTTTGTGAATGTGTGTGTGTTTGCAAGATTGAGACGCTTGTCCTAATAAAAATATCTTCCTTCTTTTTCTAGGATGCACCATCTAAAGCAGGACATGGAGATTTTGGTCAGGGAACTACATCATAACAACAGCATTATTGAGAGGTGAGTTGAGCAACATCCTGTCTCTATGGAAACGCACAGTCCCATATACCCCAAGTGAGAAAGGATGATGTTGACGGTTTGCATTTGTCTTCTCCTGTAGTCTGGGAGCAGGGAACCCTGCAGAGTCGAGCTTGGCCAGACCGTCTACACTGTGACAAAAGTGCCTCATCTTAACAAACAAACACACACACACACACTCTGGCAAGCACTGCATTTAAACACCCACTCACCCAACAGTTATGGACGATGCATTGAATCTTCTTTTCAAGGTCATTCTGTATGGAGAGGAAGCAGGCGAAGACAATCGATAAAATGTGAATCTCAATTTAGAGATAAGATGCACAGAATGGATGAGGAGGAAATGCCACTGATGGGTTTTGTGTGTGTGTGTGTGTGTGTGTGTGTGTGTGTGTGTGTGTGTGTGTGTGTGTGTGTGTGTGTGTGTGTGTGTGTGTGTGTGTGTGTGTGTGTGTGTGTGTGTGTGTGTGTGTGTGTGTGTGTGTGTGTGTGTGTGTGTGTGTGTGTGTGTGTGTGTGTGTGTGTGTGTGTGTGTGTGTGTGTGTGTGTGTGTGTGGTGTGTGTGTGTGTGTGTGTGTGTGTGTGTGTGTGTGTGTGTGTGTGTGTGTTGTGTGTGTGTGTGTGTGTGTGTGTGTGTGTGTGTGTGTGTGTGTGTGTGTGTGTGTGTGTGTGTAGCAGCTCAATACAAACCTCATTAATGCCTTTAGTGTTATTGTATTTCTAATACGCTCCCACAGCGATGGGCCGTCAGGATAAAGCAAAGTGAAAGCAAAGGCAGCTTAGTATTTTTCTAAAGCCATGTTTCATCTTTGTGTTAATACACCCAAACTGACACTATATCTCTCTGTCTCTGTACTTAGAAGGCTTGAGACGTTTTCTGTCTTCTTCCTAATGGTTGATCATTCAAATTGTTTCATGTGACCTATAATTACACCCTTGATGGCCAGCTTCTCCAAGCACTCAGCACTGGTTTTTTTATGTGACATTTGTCTCTATTTCTGTGGATGTTTCTTGTATCATAAGTTATTATTTTATATGTTATCGTAGGTTTCACTGCAAAAGAGAAGAAACAAAACCAGGGAAACTACACTCACCACATTGTGTCCTTTTTAACAGAAGTATACAAAGTCCAGTGATAGTACAGCATATTAAGTGTATGAAATCACATAAGCAGCGTGGGCAACACCATGGGGAAGTCCCAGGGTTTGTTATTTGTTTATAAAGGGGTCACAGGTACACAAATCGATAAAATAAACTTTTACTACTGTTAAAACTCATGTTTGTTTTTTGTATTCTGTATGTAGAAAGAATGTTATCTCACTTGATGAAGTAATGCATGCTGAAAAGTGAAAGTAAAATCTTTTCAAATTCCCTCTTGTGAGCTTACAGTGGCAACGTAAACAATTAAATAAGGTCCCAAATGACTGTGATAACAGTCTCATATACAGTTCACAGTCAACTTACTTTCACAATACATTTGATGTGATTAGCTAAACCGGAAAATATAAGGTCTCTAACAAAACAGAAAATAAGTGAGCTGTCGTGACACTGCAAAGTACAATAATGAAATTGAAAGTTCTCCGCTCGGAGGGATGTGGGTGTCCTCGGGCCAGGGGCTTTCTAGGTTGAGTTAAGGGGACTCATGCAGCTTTTGTGGTTTTATGCGGCTCATATGACGTGCTCTTGGCAGTTATCAAAGTGGAAACTTTGATAACTTTCCTGCTACTAGCCTACACAAACAAGTCTTACTTTGTGTTTTTATCACCTGACTTCTCAACATCAAGGCAATACTAAAGACAAGCTGTAGGCCCACCTAAAAATAAGTCTTACACATCAAATTAATTAAGTAGTTGTGTGAGCCCTCTATTCACCTCCACAAATAAATAAATAATTGATTACATACAATAGCTGACTTTACTATTTCAAATGTAGTTGTCGTAAGACAATGCTCTTAAATATCTTTCCCTAAAACTATATCAGCATTATTATAAGTGGTGTATGTCATAGCCTACTTCCTAATTCAGTCTCTGGTATCACTCCACAAAGTCTTCATTTGTGGTTTTAGTTTCTTGATTATTCCATTCTATTTTCTGTCTTTAATAGCCTACAGGTTACTCCATACGATGTTAACATGATTAGGCTATGAGTAAATTCCTTGTGGCAATGTGGTTAAACGCTTAAATTAACAACGAGTCTTCAGGAAGTTAAGATAAGTATATCCATTAAATAACTGCTTAATAATTCATCTAGTAATGGTAAATCAAACCTCCAGTGTGAGCCAGGGATTAGTGCGCGCCCCCGGCGTTCAAAAAGGGAGCGCGCCCTTGGCATTTAAAGCAGTCAGGTCCCTCGCGTCACTACTCCACGCTGTCGCGGGCGTGAGCTGAGTTTACATTCCGGGCACGGATTGAAAACACGCTCAAAAACACACACACCAAACCGCCAACACACTACACGCATTACAGGGGACGGGATAATGGCGTCTATGAGTGTGGTGGGGCAGCACCCGGGTCCGCACAGGCTGGATTCGGAACCGCTGCTCTTCAAACTGGCTGGAGCCAGGAAGAAAATCACCCTGCCGAGGAAATCTTCCTGGGAGAAGATGATGTTCAGGAGGAGCTCGGGCAGCGGCGGGGACTGCGGGGCGGCCACTACTGAAGGACAACCGGGAACTCATCCCCTGTCTCCGGGACCGGCTGGAACAACGGCGGTGAAAGGAGGACCGCTGCCCGGGGAGGGATGCAGAGCTCCTACCGGCCCTGCTGCGCCACGTAGCCCGGGCCGGGACAGAGAGGAGGGCAGCATGGACAGCGGCACCGCAGCCGGGCTTCACGGAAGTCAAACCGGGAACATCAACAGTGACTGCAACACCGACTGTTACACAAACCGTAACACAGGTAGCCGGAGGGGGTCTTCTCTCAAGAGGTCGGGCATCAATGTCATGGCAAACGGAGCGGACACGAATGGACACAAAGGCTTGCACCGGGTTGCGGCAGACGGGAGGCGGGACAGTCGGAGCAGAGACAGCGGACAGCCGAGCGTCTCCCCCCCCGGGCCGGCACCGGGGCTCAGCGGCAGTCTCTCTCTGGAGCGGCTCACACAGGGCAGGACGGGGGTCGTCAAGCTGGCCCGCACCGAGGTTCCCCGCAGAGAGGCCTGGTCCATCTTCCCCCGGGGAGTGGACCCTCGGGTGAGGACAGAGAAAGGTGAAGGACACCGGTTCGAGTCCAAGCCCTGCACGCAGGACTGGTGTGACGCCTGTAGCCGCCAGATCACTGCGCAGGCACTCAAGTGTGAAAGTAAGTAGTAAGGAGTCAAATCATGTTTTTATCTCTCCTGTGAGTGCTTTTTCTGCATAACAATTGGAGTTAAATGATAATAGTTATCCTTTGCCATTGAGCACTAACTTTACTTCTTTAAAACAGCACACTGTTTTCAGTTTGTGTGATCAGTTCATTGTATTCTCCCTGAATGAAACAGAAATACCTTTTTAGGAAAAATGATGGTTGATTTTCTGGCCTGTATCTTGTTTCTGGTACAATATTGGATTGTTCTATGAAGGGCACAAGTAGCCGAGTGGTACATTCTTCCAATACTGGTGGTTGTGTGAAAGGAAAATGTGTGAGTGTGCCTTTGTGACTGAACCAGTATAAAAAGGAAGGACATTTCCAAAAATCCATAGAGCCAGCCAAAAATCTTCCATGGAAATCCCATTATCTTGTCCTTCCAGCTTCGCCTCCCAGATCTCTAACTCTGGGATTTGCAGCCTCAGCTCAAAGAGTGAGGGAGAGTAGAATTAATAGTGGTGCATTGAGCTGGATCCAAAAATAAAAAAGGACATTTCTGGAAAAGCTTAATTGTAATCGGGATGAAATGATGTGTTTGATTAGAATGTGTTTATACCAGGAGGCTTGTAGTAGCAGTTGAGTGTGTATGTAAGGACAAACCAAAATGTTGTAAATGTATTGTACCTGTTACACATTCCTATACCTGACTGTATACTTTACTGTACTGCTGAGAGGAGAACACTCCTACCTGCACAGCTCTGGGACGCAGACAGTTTGGGCCAAGCCAATTTGACCTGGCAGATATACCGTATATTTAATCCGGATAGAGTGTTCACTTTGACACACAAACACACCTGCTGCAAGTCTAACCTGGAGAGTTATTTGGTGTGTGTGTATGTGTTGGCTTTTCCTTACTGTACATGCATGCTGTCAATGGGTGTGTGTGTGTGTGAGTGCATGCGGCTGCTGACTTGGCATGTTGTCAGCAGCGCTTTGTCACTGTGAGGCTGCTGCTGCAGAACAGTGTGAGATAAAGCAATTAAAGAAAGGGTTGAAAGAAGTGATGGAAGAAAGGGATAGGGAAAGAATTACAAGTGGTTGGAAACAGGGAAGTCAACAATAGTGGAAATAGTCAGAGGAGAGGTGGAGGGAGGCCGGGTGATTGGAATGAGGAGAGACGCAGAGCCAGAACAGGAACGATGGGGAAGAAAAAGAGCCAATGTGAGTGAGGGATGGAGGAAAAGAGCGAGGGTTTGTCCAGCACTGCAGAGCTGTCTGATTTAGTGTGCTATCAGCAAGAGCTCAGTGGAGCGAGAGCAGAGATTACTGGAGCGCTATTCACACACACACACACACACACACACCCTGAGAAACACACACATGCACAGTCATGAGTTTCTTAACAACCCCGATAACTTTTTGTCTCCACTAGTCTGTCTTTATGGATCAAGCTAATTAACTCTAGCTTTCTCCTGCCAGCAGCTGCACCCAAGATCAAACGGTCCTTTCTGCTCCCCGTTTTCTCTGAAAAAACATCAGAGCTCAATGCGGTTTACAGTCACAGGGGGTCACCGGGTCATTTATGACATGCAATACAAATGTAGGAATTTCTGGGTATTTGTGTGCAACCAAAACTGCCAAAAATAGAAACAACACACGCACATGCAGCCATGCTCTGTTTGAACTACACCCAGCAAATGACAGGGAGTGAGAGACGGAGGCCTTGCAACCGTAAACAACCATCATTCAGTCTCTTTGTCTTGTTGTATGCCTCGCTCCCTCGGTCTGTCTTTAATTGATCACCCTCCCTGTAGCTGTGCTGGCTTTGTTGCATATGCAGCTTATAGAAACAGTAATGCAGCTCTTCCCCCCTCCCCCCGGGACAGTCGAGTGCTTGTGGGATCGTTGTGATGTGGCCTTACCCCAAAGTGAAATCTGTCGATCCCGCCATGAGCTCCCAGTCTCATCGTGCTCAGATGTTGTGTGATCCTCTGAATTCATTCTTACTGCTATAGCTTTAGTCTGAGTTTGTACTTTAGAAAAACAACTTGAAAGCGTCTCATGGGAGTCAAATTGGAGGTTGATTTGTAGCATGTCTATGCTGTACCGCAACCCCCCACACTATTTATGCATACATACACACAAAGATTAGAGCCATATGTGGCATCAGGCATT